GTGTCGCTTTCTCTCCATTTTCAATGGGAAACTCAGCTTGTTATTTCACTGTTTCATACAGGATGCTCCTCCCAGTCTCCTGTCACACCACCAAAAGTGCCAAGGGGACCCTCACACATGTCCTGCACCGACACCAGAATGTGAGAACGACATTCAGACAGCGCAGTGTACAGAGCATGGCAACCACAGAGTCTGAATTCAGGCAAGTTTGGTGGTACAAACCTGTAATCTCAGCACATTGGGAAGCTAAGGCATGAGGATTGCAAATTCAAGACCAGCCTGGGCAATTTAACAATTTAGCCAAACCCTGTCTCAGATAAAGAATGAAAACAGGGCTGGGCGTGTGGCTCAGAGTGAAGACCCTGGGTTCAACTCTCAGTACCACCACCAAGGAAAAAGAAAATCTGAATTTGTTTTCTTCCTATCCCCTGAGTTCCTTTTAATGGGAAAGTCATGTGTCAGGGTCCTAGTGACTGCTGAAATGTCCCTGCTTCCATCACACTGAAGGAAGGTATCTAAGAAAGAAAGGATATTTGCTATGAAAATGAAGGAGAGTATAAAGAGGAAAATAAAAGATAGATAATAGGAAGTAGGAAGATAGATCTTTTTCAAAGGAGAAGGGGACCAAGAGATGGCAGGAGGGGGAAGAGGGGAAGGGAAAGAGAGGAGAAAAAAGAATTGAGATGTGTTATGTACATGGGCCAACTCCCCATGAGGAATGTACACATTATGTGCTTCAAACATGTACTAATACAGAAAATGATCTGAAAAATGAAGAAAACAAAAAAGTTCTCCCTAAAATATTGAGAATTGCTGAGCTGAAGACATTTAAAACTTGGAGATTCTCTGCACTTCCTCTGTCTAAAAAAAGGACAGAAAATTAATCAGATAAGGAGTTTTTGTGTCTCTCCTCCCTTTTTCCCACCTAAAACCAGAGTGTAAATCCTCCTTAGTTGTTGACCACTTTGTATCAGTCCAGAGGCACCAATAGGGCTGGACAAATCTAGGGACAGTCTCTTCCCTCCCAGTTTTCCCACCTTTGAAAGCTTGAAACTGCTTGTGCCTTTGTCTTGTTACTGCTCTAAGATTTTATAGTCCTTTGTTAAAATAGTCTTTGAGCCACTGCTTTGAGAGTTACTTTCCAGAGTGAGTTGCTTTCCTACTGTGTAATATGTGCTACATGTTAACAAACTTGCTTGTTTTCCTCCTGTTAATCTGCCTTTTATCAAAGGAGCATGCCAACTATGAACTCACAAAGACTGAGGAAAAATTATCCTTTTTCTCTCCTTCAAAAATAAGGTGAGGAAATTCATACATGCAAAAAAGCATTTAATAAAACTTGATAAACATTCATGATTTAAAAATTCTTGGTTAGCCAAAAAGAAGAGAACTTCATTAACTTGGTACAAGATAGATACTAAAAAAAAAAAAAAAAAAACCTGGAAAAAAAAAAAAAAAAAAAAAGAATAGATACCAAAACCTTTTACTATATATCTTATTTATTAGAAAATAAATAATTCTTACTAGAATAATTCTCATTAAAAGTAAAAAGTAGAGATTTTTTTATTGCTGGTACTCAGATGGAAATGTATCTACAAAAAAATCCTCCTGAAATATTGTACCTAAAATACCAGATAATTTAAAAAATAATTTTAAATTTTTTAAATGTGGAATTGAGTTGGTAGGAAAGTAAGGGAGTTGTCAAGAGGCCAAAAGGTATGAGATACACTAAGCCAGAGAAGCTAGAAAGGAGAGGCACAGGTTGTCTTGGGTTTGTCTCTGTTTCTAGCACCCACTACCATGGGTTTTAAGGGGAGGACAGAGGACAAAGTCTGGAGCCTAACACCAAGGGCAAGAGGTCAGATCATAGACATGGCACAAATTAGGACACCCTAAGGGTGGTGTCCATGGAAGGAGACAGTCATTCATGGTCTTCCCAGCCTCAGTTGTGAATGAAGCAGGAAGAAAATGTTCCTTTGAAAGTTCCTAACAAGAAGGCAATAATCAGATAGGCTTGAGTTAAAATTTATATTACTTGTGTGTCTGGTAAACCCTCAAATTCACAGTGTTCCAGTTGGTACCGTCCCCAGGCTCCTGGAAAAAGCACATATAAATCCTCTGGAGAAACCAGTTTCAACTCCAACCTCAGAGAACCCTACAGAAAAGTTTCCAAGAAATATGAGTTCATAGTATGAAATAAAAATAGATTAAAATTAAGAACATGACAAGAGTGCCCAGGAAATCTAAGTTTTTGTGAATAGTATTCCCTAGAATTGTGCAGCCTATACCTGCCACAGCTGTGTGTCAGTCCTGAGACTATCTTCTGTCTGGCTGTGGCTCAGCATTGTGCTCAAGGGGCAAGGAAAGGAGTAAGACAAAAAACATTTAAGCTATGTCAGAAAAGAAAGAACAAAACTTTCACTGTATATAGATAACATGGTTAGCTAGAATCTCCAAAAGAGTGAACTGATTCGTGTTTACAGCTTAAGAGAATTCAGTAAGCAAATCAGATAAAATATCTTTTTAAAAATAGATTTCCTGTATACCAGGAAAAAATCAATTAGAAAAAAGAAAAGTTACAGCAGAAATTGACTTAGGAAGAATGAATAAATACAACAGAATAGAGAATGAAAACTGGACACGTGTAAGTGGCAGTTTACTACGTGATAGAGGTACCATTTCAAATAAATAGAAAAAAGATGAAATTTTCAATAAATGGTATTGGAATAATTTGTTGAAACACATTCCAGGGGGATAAAAAAGTTATTTTAAAATATAACAGTATTACAAGAAAATATGTCAAAATACCTTTATAATCTTAAAAGGTGAGAAAACTTTCTTAAATAAGCCTCAATGAGCAAAACACATAAAGGATAAAGTTGATAAATTCAATTACATCATGATAACAGCAAGCACAATAACAGTAAAATCTTTTGTGAACTAAAAATGTGATATAAACAAAGTTTAAAAAGAAGGAACAGAGGGAATATGTATTACACATGCATCAAAGAACTAGCATCAAGAATAAGTAACAAGCTCCTACAAAGGAGTAAAGCATTGAATACAAAATTATCTAAGGGTATGATTGGGTAATGTAAGAAAAAAATACAATGGCCTAGAATTATGTAAAAAGAGCGTTCCACCTCAATAGTAATCAGGGAAATAAAAATTTTGATGGATTATCACTTTCATTCACTGAAGTAGAAAAAAATAAACTATTGGATAAATAGCAAGCAGAATTGAGGGTATGGAGGAACATAAATTGGCATGGGTGTACCAATTTACAGTAGGCTCCTTCATAGTATTAAAAATTGAACCTATTTCAGTCATACATCCTATGATATAGCAATTCAATTTCTTAGTGTTTCCTCCAGAGAACACAGAAATAAGTGCCAGCAGACATCAACAGTGAGGTTCACTGGGAAGACTAAACATCGGAAACAGCTTTGATATCTATCAGAATGGAAATGGTTAAGTAAAACGATTGTACACAGTGAAATATTATATAGCAGTTAAAATAAATGAGGTAGAGCTCTAGAATAGTATTGAGAAGTCTCCAAGTCTATGAAAGAGTGGAAGCACAGAATGAGGAAGTAATAAATCTATGTATCATACACATATGTGTATCTGAATACATACAGAATAGCCTGACAATAAATGCATCATTCTAGCTGCTTTATGGGAAGCAGAGAACAAAAGCTGGCAGGATGGCCAAAGGAGAATTTACCTATATCTATACAACTTTTTTTATTCTGTAAGAAGCATAAGAGCATGTAATCATGTATACTTCAACAACTTAAAAAGGATTAACCTACAAAAATACCTGAGCCAGTTTTGTGATTGTCTGTTATGTTTATGGCACAATAACTCAGGATCAAGTTGATTACTTTCAGATAGGATTTGGCAAAGCTTTCTGTGAAGGGGAAGAGAGTTGATATTTTAGGCTTTGTAGGCCATACTGTCTCTTTTGCAACAATTCAGTTAGTTCTGCTGTTGTAAGCAAATTAGCCATAGCAGATGAACATAGTTGTGTTCCGATAAAACTTTATTTGTAAAAGCAATTGTGAATCAGATTTGGCCTGTGAGCCATAGTTTGTCAATTCCAGGTTTAGATTATATTTATTATATAAATAAAATATTTTAAGTATTTCTGTGTACAGGAAAATAATCTCTCCTATTAACTAAAAGATTAAATAAGCTATAGCCTCTGAGACTTTGCTTAGAATACTTATACCTCGGTCTTATCGTTTTCAACCCAGCAGTCATCTCCACTGAGATGATCCAGTCCTTGTCTCATCTGAGTGGTGACCAACAGCACTGTTACACAACTATCGATGTGGAAGGGACAGTGTCACAGCTGACTTATCAAGTTAAGGTTCAGTGGCCTCCAAGTGTCTCCTGAGCATCCTCAGTTGCAGAGGGGCCTTGTTGCAATGCTTGTGGCCACCACTGTGCTATGCTATGGGGGAGGGAAGGGGGTGTTGGCACTGAGCACCTGCGGGAAAGGCTCAGTCCAGTGGGGCAGATGCTATCTCTCACACACAAAGGGAGAAAGCTCAAGGGTCCAAAGCCAGCTTAGCCATGGGACTGTACCTGGGTGTGACAGGGGAGCCAGGGCACCCTTCAGAGGTGAGGTCTGAGCAGCACCAACCCTGTAAGCCCACAAGAAGCTGGGCTGGGTGCTTTCTGTTCCTCCAGCCCAGAATAGTGGTCTTCCCTGGGTCCAGGGACACCAGCCCTGTCACAGGGAAGGAACTGGTTGTACATGTGACTCACGGTAATTCACGCAAATTTGATGCTTCTGCTGTCATGATTTCTCAAGGCAGCAATTTCAGGCCAGGAGGCATGGGCAGTGGGGCTCAGTATTAAGTGATGGTTTGCATGCCTTTTTTCAACCTGGCAATGAGGACAGCAGCAAGGCCAACGTGCTTCACCAGCAAGGGACATTCATGTTCCCATATGACTTTGGCATGGAGAAGAGAGAAAAAGAAAAACCATACCTGCTGGGCAGCAGCTGCTTTGCTCTGACTTCTCCCTTGAGATTCACTCTGGACAATCAGGAGTGACAGATCCACCTGAAGCTGTTTTGCTTCAAACCTGTCGTGGCTGCCTTGTTATCGGCGGAAGTGGGAGTCTTGGCTCAGTCTCTTCTATTTCCCAGGAGTGAACACAGCTCTCAGAGCTCCCAGGTGAGACTGAGGCTCCTGTTGAAGAAAAGACAGGGCTTCCTCTTGTTCTTAGGTCTCCTAATATAAGTACAGCTTGTCTCTTATCTACAGGTCAGCCAGTTCTAAAGCCGGTTCCAAGTGGCCCCACGGTTACTCTTAAGTCCCAAGTCCAGAACTTGAACTAGTAAACGAGCAGATTACCATATTTACTCTGGTTATGGCTCCTTCCTTTTCTCTTCAGTTGTCTACTGTGAAACCCAGAATGGGAGGAACAATGCAAGTGTCTGCTTTGAGATATTCTGGGCAAATTGTATGTGTCCAAGGGTCTCTGGGCTTTCCATGCTGAAGGCAAAGTTCATTTCAATCAAATCTCTTTAACACTTTCGAGTCCTGAGCCACCTTCCTGGACAGCGTTACTTTGTGTGAAAGAGAGTGAAGTCTTGAATTCCAACCAACTCCTGGTGTTTATGTGAAAAGAAGACAGGACTCAGGAAGACAGCCTGGGTGTGACAAGAAGGGGCTGTGCACAGTTGACACAGGCGACCCTGCCTCCAGCCTCAGGCCAGAGGCAGACTGAGCAAGGAGAACCGCCCATGGGAGAGTTCTGAGGACCTTTCCTTCTCTTGCCAGGCCTGGGAAGCATTGCTGTATGAACACCACTGTACAGGAGGTTGTTTTGGGGATTGCTCAGGGGGAATCTAGAACTAATAAAATACTGGGTTCAGGTCCCAGTGGCGGCAGCCTGTCTGGTGTGCACTGGGGTAGGAGAGGAGCTTGAGAAGATAGAAATCATAAGGCCGCAGCCAAAGGAGGTAGGAAGGCTAAAAAGCATTAAGGGGAACTTTTATTTCCAAAATTAAAAGAAGGCCTTTCTGCACTGACTGACATTTCTTCAGCCAGAGGAAAAAAGGCATGATCCCAGTTCAGAGAGGGCAGTGTACCAAGGAGTCCTTTGGGTCACTGGTAAACCAGGAAGCTTTCATCATCTCTCTAATCTTGTCTGGCCCATAAGGGCCAGGCCTTATCTCTCTTATAAAAAATAAATAAATCATTTACAGCAGAAACAGAGAACTAGTACCAGGCTGTGAGGCAAAGGGACCATTCTCATGTCTCTGAAGGGCTCTTCCAGATCTTTCTGGCTGCATGTCTCCAGGAGACATGGTTGCCAGGCTGCTAGGCCTCACTAGTCCATAACCACAGTGTCCACCTGAGGCAGGAGTCTGTTTGGAACAAGTTAGGAAATACACTCTTATTACTAAGAATAGCTTACTGATGCCCCCACAAGAGGGTCTGAATCAAACTTAAACACTCAAGGGGGTAGGAGAAATTGGAGCCCACAGGCCCGATGTCCCCCTTTGTCTGTTGCAACAATCAGAAATGGGGTGCTCCAGAGCTACTTGTCAGAGAAAAGCAGATATGATAAGCATAGAGGGTTTCCTTAAGGTGAATTTATGAAAAATTATAAAAAAGTATAAATATGAAAATTGAGAAAGCCAACTAAAGGAGTGGTACCCCAATGGTGTAAATCCAGGTGGACCTAGTGGATGACAGGGGGCCTTTCTTAAAGTCTCTTGGCATCCCTATGAGGTGTGGCTAAGGGACAAGATGGAGAACATGGAGGTCCCTGTGAAGCATCTTGGAGGGACCATCTTCCTTTTTGCCCTTGGGTGGACACAGCAGCAAGGTACCCAAGAAGACTAGGAGTAAGAGCCTTTATTTTGAAAATGGCTTCATTTTATCACAGGCAGAAGTAGTGACACAGAAATTTCCTTCCTAGAAATGGCAGTTTCCAGCAAACAGGGTGAAGGGGACCACAATAACCCCAGCATCCCAGACCCTATACTAACTCCAAGGTTCCAAAGATGACTCTTGTTGAGACTGGAATCCCAGCCACTCTCATTTCAGAATCTGGGAACACATTGTTTCCCCTTATCTCTGAGTCACACTGCAGAATGTGCTCTCTATGACCTCTTCTCCTGCTCAGTTGTAATCTCTGCGACAGCTCTGAGACAGGCACCCCAAAGGCCATGCATTAAAGGCGTGGTCCCCAGAATGGCATGGCTGGGAAATGGGGGATCTAGTGGGAGGTCTTTAGTCAGTGGGGCACAGGGAGACAGAGGGCCCCTGGCTCCTTCCTCTTTGTCTTGTGCCCCTGGTTTTTTATGAGGCGAGTGATTTTGCTTGCCATGCATTCTGTCAGGAAGTGCTGCTGATGGCAGGCCAGAGCAAAAAGACCAACTAGCGGTGGACTGGAACCTCCGAAGAAGCTGGGAGCCAACACAAACCTTGATTATCTCAGGCATTTGTTTGGTAATGGAAAGTGGACTAAAGAAGACCTTACCTGTCCCTTAGATTACCTTGTATCCTCCACTGGTGCCTGCTCAGTCAGTTTAGCAATTTTTTCAAATATGGGTTTTACTAACATTACTTTGATAGAATACTGCTTCTATTGACAAGAAAAAGGAGCTCACAGCTACCTTTAGAGAATCCTTCCTGCAGCTCATGCGACCATGAAATGAAACTCGTATTTAGTTTTATTATTAAATGAGTTAACTTTCAAATGCGTGAAAACTCTTAAATTTTAATTTTTAAATTTTAAACTCATGATGACAAATGTCATGATGAAGATAAATTAAGTTTTGACAGAAAAGAGATAATTTGGTGTTTAAATACATGGAATTACTTAAAAACTAGAAAGTGGTTTGGAATTTTATATTTATTTCTTAGTCACTATGATGTATGAGAAGGCTAAAAGGGACTGAGAGAATCTAGAATCTGAAGACACAATTGTCTCTTTCTACCAATATTGATATGACAATTACTTGATCTTAACAGCTGTAGCCATTAGATGCCTCTGCTCCACAATAATGTATCAGAAACTCTTGAAAAATTATAAATTTAGTGGTACAGGGAATACCTTTAGCCTATGAGATGGATCATCTCTAAGAAAAATTGTGCCTGGTCCATGGAGAGATAACTGAACACTGACCATATTTACAACTATTGGGGTTATTAGCCAGTCAGTTAGACCTGTTTTGTCTCTTAAATGAGACATAACACTCATTCTCAGAGGACAGATTAAATTTAAGTAGTTAAGCATCTTAAAGTTGCCACTCACCTTTTTTATTTATTTTATTTTTATGAAGTACAATTTGCCACTCTTTAAAAAAATTGTTTTTGGTAAAACATATATAACATAAGATTAGCCACTTAGACCATTTTGAATACACAAAGAACCTTTCCACCACTACAAACAGACTCTCTATACTCATTACACAATGCCCTCTTCCCCACTTTCCTTGGTCCTGGCAACCTCTAATCTTATTGTCTACTGGTATCACTATGAATTCACCTATTCTAGATATTTCGTATAAGTGAAATCATGTATTTGTCCTTATGTGTCTGGTTTATGTTCATCAGCATACTGTTTTCAAGGTTCATTCATGTTATGTGTCAGAACTTTGTTCCTTTTTATGGCTCAATGTTCTACGGTGTGTATACAGCACAATTTGTTCATTCATGTTTTGACTATTATGATGAGGTTGGTACAAACATCAGGGTACAAGTATCTGTTTGAGTCCCTGCTTTTAGTTCTTTTGGGTATATACCTGGTAGATGTCTTGTTCCCTAAAATGGGTGCTTTTGTAAATTTTGTCCAGTTGAATGTTTTTTTAGTGGACCTCTTCCTTTCAAAGGTAGAATCTGACATAGCTATATTTTGAAATAATGTCTTTAATCTTTATTAAACATACAGTAAACAGTGAGAAGAGTATTTCTGGATCTTCCCCAGTTCGCCATTGGATTTTCTTCTGTTGTCAAATGTTTGTACAAGGAAACACGGGACAGATCCCTTTCGGGATGTTGTAAGACAGCCTCTCCTTCATCACCTACTTGTCTCTTTGATAAACTTCACATGCTGATAAGAAAAAGTTAAACCTTTATTAGAAATGAATGTTATAAATTAGAACTTTGTTCTTTAAACTCATTTCATATAATTAAATGCTAAGGCATCATAACATCTCTCTGTCTTCCCCAATGAGATGGAGAAACTTATCCAGCTGGTTAGAAACTGATGCCTACCGGGCCACTTTCTATGTAGTTGTAGGTGTGGAGATTTTTCCATAAAAGGTGGAATGTGCTCTACCCTCCTCTTTTACTGTCTGTCCAGTGAAGATAGTAAAAGTAGCCAGCTGGTGCTAGCTGGGTGCTTGCCATATGCCCTGTGCTATTCTAAGCCTTTTATATAAATTGACAAATTACAACCTCACACCAGTCCCATGCTGTAGTTGTAGTTATAGTTTTAGATATGATGAAGCTAAGGCATAGTGAGATTATGTAACTCATCTGATACAATGGAAATGGAATGGGATTTCAATCCAGTCGCTCTGTGTTCAGAGACTACTTTCTTAATTTCCATACCTACTCTACTACTATGATTCTGGCTTGGCTTTTGCTCCACAAATCATAAGCACAGCCAGAAGCCACTCACTCCCAGGCTCACTGGCTTTACCACTGTCCTACTGTGATCCTCCACACAGCTGGCTGCATAAAGATATCGAAGTCTCCTTTATGAGCCCAACCCTACCCTCCAGTGGATGTAACTCCATGGTCGAGAATTGAGTAGTCGACGAGGATTAGTAATGGAAGCTTCTCCAGACCCAATATACACTCAGACTTTTAATATCAGCAGCTGCAGGTTCTGTACTTAAGAATTTTGGAATCCCCCAAATTTTGCACTAACAGTTTCTCACAGAAAACTTCAATTAGTCACTGAGGATTCTAGAACAACAGATTTTCCTTTTGCCTTAGCTGTTTAAATATAAAATTAGTTTTAGAAGACTCCATACGGATTTTTTAAAAAAGAAAATACTGATTCATTATACCCTTTATTAGAAGCCACTTTGAATCCTTTTTCAATGTGTACACTGATTTTAACTTTAGTTCATCATCACAGGGGTGGACAAACGGGACCTGCAGGCCAAATCCAGCCTGCTGAGTTTGAAAGTAAAGTTTTACCAGAACACAATCATGTTATCTATCATGCGTACACTCGCCAATGTGAGCAGCCACAGCTCAGACCCCTGACCAGCAATGCCTGGAATGTGCAGTTAGGCCCTTTCCAGAAACTGCTACTTACTGCTGTTTGGCCTCTCTGCCCACCTTCTAGTCCATGGGCTCTAACTCACTCCTCATTTTGTGTTCCTGAAACTTTATTTCAAAAGTAAATGAATGTAAAACCTCTACCTAGTTCAAGTTTGCATTTTTTAAAAGAATAAAACAAAATTCAATTGCTCCCTTATTGGTGTAGTACTTTCCTGTTTGTCAGTGAGGGCAGAAAGCTGTCCCAACTCTAGTTTTCTGAGGACAGGGTAAACTCTACAGTTTATGCAACCAATCACTTTTTTCAGCTAAGAAAAAAAAATTTTAATTCAACTTTGTTTTATTGTTTCTATTTTATTTGTTCTGGTTTGTGCTTCAAGATTTCCTGTTGCAAAAGTAAAATATCACATGGTTTCTCTTATATAAGAAAGCCAAAGTTTAATACTTTAAAGAGCAATGTATTGCAGATATGTACTAAGAAATAATAACCATAAGCTCTTCAGAAAAAGAATTTCTTTAAAAAAAAAAAGAATTTCTATTGCTTGTAGGATTGGTAATCCAAGGTCACTTTCATATTTGTGCTTTTCCTTCCCATCCTATATTGGATGATCTAACAACTTTGTCACCAATACCAGTGATTTTATTCTCTGCCATGATATTTCTGTCCTTTTAACTGCCTCCAAATGAACATATAAGGTTTGTTATTGAATTTTAATTTTCCATTTTCCTTCTTCTTCTTAGCATTCTTCCCTTTTCAGCTTGCACGTCGCTGTGTTTTGGCCTTGCCTGTTTTTATTATTCCTTACTTCAGCTTCCAAGGAGGCCCTTTCTTTTTGCCTCCAAGTGAAAACACCAATAAGATGTTTCTTAGAGAATATCATAGAGAATATATATGTATAAAATGATAAGTGTTCCCTCATCTACTTTCAGAATAACATATATTTTCTTTTGTAAAGTCTTTACATAGGTTTCCTGTTGACGTTGTGGTTGATGCTCTTGTTTCTTTAATGTTTTTCTTACTTGCCAGTCTTTCAGTTAAGAGGGATGTTTGCCAAGGATAGGTAGATTGCCCTCTACTAGCACCCTCTCTGTGGGTGTTGAGTGAATATGCAACCACTGTACAGAAGCATCACTGGAGACCTAGGTTTCTGGTATGGAGGCATCTCGAGTAGACCTCCATAAGCATTCTCGCTTGCTGATGCACATACTCATGCATTTTCTGTTGGATTTACACCTAGGAGAGGAAATGCTGACTACTGGGTGATGCATATTTTCAACCTTAATAGATAATGCCAATGTCCTATGGACTGCAAACCAAAATGACTTAAATACTCAGCAACATTTCTTTTTGTGATTCAACAAGTCTGTGTATTATCAGAGCAAAATGTTCAAATGAGACATAAGAAACTTTTCTCTTGCACAGAGCATCTAGAAAACACCAAAGAAAATAAAGCTGTTTAAATTGACTAATATTACTGAAAATAACTTTAAATTATTGGGAGTTAAGGAAAATACAGTGTTTTTCTTAGGAATCATATATTGACAAGCTCATGAAAGTTGCACCACTTGGGAGAAGCACAGATTATTGAGATTTTTTAGATGATTTGTACAGTTTTTAAAAATCACAGTCTGAGCTGCACATGGAGGCACATGCCTGTAACCCCAGCTACTTGAAAGGCTGAAGTAGGAAGATTGTAAGTTCTAGGCCAGCCTGGTACAACTTAGTGAGACCCTATCTCAAAGTAAAATTTAAAAAGGACTGGGGATATAGCTCAGTGGTAGAATACTTGCCTAGCATGTTCAAAGCCTAAGATTCAACCTCCAGTATTAAAAAAAAAGTCACAATCTGGAAAATGCAAATGTTTAAAATTCTATTTTCTTTTACAAACATTCATTACCAGATGAATGCATCCAAAAAATTACTGTGATATAATGAAATAAAGCCCTACCTTCAAAGTCAGATAGTACCAGACACACACTATCCCTGTCATTTATGAATCCTATGGACTCAAATGTTTCTTACTTAGGTATCTGTTTCCAAATTCTAGAACTTACAAAAAAATCTTTACGTTGTCTAGGTTATTGTAGAATACTTAATATGTTTACATTATGAAAACATGAAGCTACGAAAGGACGTAAAACACAAAGAAGCATCTTGCCACCTAGTGTCACCTCCAGTTTCCATGCCTAGCAATAACTACTTACCAATCTCTTGTTAATCTTTCCAGAAAAGTTGTACATATATTGCAGGAATAATGCTATTATGGATTTGTGTATATACATATGCATGTATCCCTAACTTTTTAAAACTATATATGTCTACATTATTCACCCAAACATCACTGGACCATCAACAGGAAAGGCAGACATCCCCAATAACCAAATTCATCATCTTTTATTTCTGCCATTTTTCAGTCACATAAAGACCAGAGTTCTGAGTGTCCTGAAGAATATTTTTTGTGGAACATTTGCTTGGGCAAAACTGATGTGTAAACATTAGAGCCCATAAGCACTCATCTTAGTTACTTTTCTCAATGCTGAGACAAAATAGCCCACACCCAAAGTTAAAAGAGGAAAAGTTTATTTTGCCACACAGTTTGTAGAGGTTTCAGGTCATATTTGGCTGGCTCCAAGGCAGAGTGGCATGGCAGAGGGGCACTGCAAAGGAGAAACAGTCCATGGTGGGCAGAAGGCATTAAGCAGCAAACTACTAGTGAGTGACCTCTTTCTGTCCCTTTCTGCTCTATCTAGGCCACCTGTCCCTAAGGCAGATAGCACTCACACCCAGAACTATGCCAAACCAATCAGTGGACTAATTTAGTAATCACACAAAGCCTTAATCCCAGCATCACACACTCTCGATTCAGCCACCTCTGAAAAAAGCCTCACGTATGACTGCATGAGGCATTGGGGGGACATCTAGACATAAGCTGTAACAGCACTCAGTGTATCTGACTCTCCTTCCATTTTACTTTGACTCACTGCCAAAACTCTTTACAAGTTTATTTCATTTCCTTCATTGGTAAAGACTGCATATACTTGGGCCGGGGATTTAGTTCAGTGGTGCTGCTGACTGCCTTGCAAGGGCAAGGTCCTGAGTTTGATCCTCAGTACCAAAAAAAAAAAAAGATTGTATACACTTATGTACAACATGGTATTTTGAAAGATGTATGCACTTAGCATTTTCCCCCCATTAAGTTTATTGGTACATTTTAGGCATAAAATACATTTGCATACATCATTGGGATCTTGTACCATTACATGAGTATCTTGGTTCTTTTTTTTTTTTGCCATTCCCCTGCCCTCCCTTCAGCCACCTCACTCCAGAAAGAATGGCTGCTATCAAGAAATCAACCAATAAGAAATGCTGGCGGGGTTGTGGGGAAAAAGGAACCCTGCTCCACTGTTGATGGGAGTATAGGCTGGTGCAACTACTGTGGAAACCAGTATGAAGATACCTCAAAAAACTAGCATTAGAGGTCCTATTTGACCCAGCTATTCCCCTGCTGGGTATCTTCCCAAAAGAATTATAAGAATCATACCATAGCAATATATGTGTACTCATGTTTATAGTGCCATAGTTTGTAATGGCTGAAACTTGGAAACAGCCCAGTGTCCATCAACTGGAGACTGGATAAAGAAGATGTGGTTTTTTAATAAAATGGAGTACTACTCAGCCATAAAGAATGAGAAGCTAGCTAAATGGATGCACATTGTGGTCATACTCTTAAGTGAAATAAATAGGACACACACGTGTAAATATTGAATCATTTCTCTGGTGTGTGAAACTGAAAGTGTAAATGAGGATCAAAATGT